GGCCGCCACGCCGGCCTCCAGCCCCCGCGGCAGGTGCTGCAGCACTGCCCGCTCTGCCGGCAGTTTCCGCTGCATCTGCAGGTGCTGGTGCCAGCGGGCCACCCGCCGCACCAGCCGCCCACTCGCACCCTGCGCCCGCAGGTAGCACCGCACCGGCTCGGGGTTGGGGTAGAAGGCAGCGTCGGCCGCGTTCATGTTGGAGATGACGGAGCTGATGCTGCCTGTGATGGTGGCGAAGCCCAGCACGGCCAGGAGGAAGCCGGCGGGGACGAAGAGGAACTCCTCCTTGCGCTGGGGCTCCGGCGTGTCACCCACAGTGGTGAGGATGAGGGTGGAGAAGTAGAAGCTGTGGAGGTACTGCCGCAGCGGGCGGGCGAAGCCAGGGCGGCTGGCATTGGGGCAGACCCAGGTGTCGGTGCCGAGCCCCAGCCGGGATGAGAGGGCGAAGTAGAGGCAGCCGTGCCAGTGGATGGCGATGAAGACGTAGAGCATCAGCTTGGCAACGCGGAAGGCGTTGGGGTGGGCCGTGCGTGTCTCCCGGCGGTCAAAGGCCTCGAAGAGCCGTGGCACCCGCACACGCACCGCCGGCACCCCCAACCCCAGGCGCAGGTAGAGCAGGTCGGTGGGCAGCACTGCGGCCATGTCCCAGGGGAAGGATGGGGAGCGCAGGTAGCGCAGCCGGATCCGGCCACGGTCCTGCACCAGGATGCCATCCTCCAGGAAGCCTGGGGGGCGGCGGATCAGGACCTGGATCACTGCCAGGTTCCTTGGCATGGAGGGGTCTCACAGTGATGGGGGGGCCCCGAGTGAGGTATGATGGGCTTGGGCCATCGCAGGGTTTTCCCATGCCGGGAGGAGGTTGGTGGCGGAGGACGGGGTGGGTGCCTGGGATGGGGTGCAGGGGCGTGCCTGGGCCTGATTCTCCCAGAAGGGACCCCAGGATGGGTGTCCTGTGGGACATCGCTGTGGGCTGTGGGTCCCCTGTGCTGCCTGGGCTGCCCGTGGGGCTGAGGGGCTCGGTCGTGGGTGCTGGGACCCCAGAGTGCCCACCCAGGCTCACCCGCCCCGTGCTGGGCTGGCTGATGGGGTGACGGCCATGTCTGCCAGGTGGGGGTCTACGTGTGTGCACGTGCATCTGTGTGTGCACCTGATGGTCTGATGTGTAGATGGGTGCATGCATGTGTGTGTGCATGTAGACATGGGCATGCACACGCGTGTGCATGTGATGCATGGCTGTTTGCATGTAGCTGTGAGTGCACACATGTGCCTGTGCATGTGTGTGCACATAAACACGTCTGTGCACACAGGTTAGTGTGCATTTGCGTGTGCAATCGCAGGCAGGCATGGGGCAGGCATGGGGCAGGTGTGGGGCAGGCAAGGTACAGGTGTGGGGCATGCGTAGGGCAGGTGGGGGACGGGGCAGGGCCCGGGGCATGGCAGGGGCATGCCGGGGTGTAGGCACTGACCGGTGTGGAGGCGCACGGTGATGTCCAGCAGGTAGAGCACGTCGCAGAGGTAGTCCAGGCTCAGCCACAGCACCACGTGCTGCTCCTGCAGGTCAGGGAAGCAGGACCTGGCGGTGCAGGCAGTGTCACCGGGGCTGGGATGGTGTCAACAGGCACCAGGATGCCCTGTGCCCCCACCCCGTCCCCGGGGCCCACCCTCGCCTCAGGCGCTGGGTGTCTTCGGCAGCAGCGCCCGCCCCGCACCCGCCCGGGCACCTGCAGATGAGGATGATCCAGTTGTAGAGGACGGGCAGCACCATGATGCTGATCCACCAGTAGTACCAGTCTCCGGAGGGATCCAGGGTCCAGCTCCGGGGAGCGGCGGCGCTGCCGGGGGAGGCAGAGGAACCTCAGGGCTGCCCCATCCTGGCCAGCTGCAACCCCTGCCCAGCTGTGCTGGCCCCCGGCCCCCACCAGCCCTGCACTGTGCCCCTGCTGCCAGCGGCTCCTCAGCTCAGCCAGCCCCTTGCCATGGCACAGGGTGCTCTGTGCCCACAGCCCCCATGGGATTGAGGGGGGTCCCTGCCACGCACTCCCACCCCAGGCCCCATGGTGGGGAGCCATGCCACGCTCACCCCCAGGCATGTCCGGTGCCAGTGCCAGGCTCGGCCATGGCGATGAGCCCGGTGGTGCCGCGTGGCTGGGGCCGAACCCAGCGGCGGGACAGCAGGGAGCTGAGGCTGTGCATCCTGCACCGCGAGTGCGGGTGCTGGTGAGGGTCCTGCACCCGTCCCCGGGCACCCAGTGGGTGCTGCAGCCCAGCCACGGCACCGAGCGCAGTGCCTCGGCAGGACCCAGTCGTGTGGCTCCACCAGCACTGGGCGCATCCTGGCAACGCAGGGCTCCCCAGGGCGCTCGCTGGCCCACTGGGACAGCAGGGCTGCAGGCAGCCCAGCCTGCAGCCACAACAGGCATGCCGGGGCGGCAGAGCCATCTCCAGGATCTGCCGGGGGCCATGGCACACTGGAGCGGGGACGTGCTGTGGGGTGGTGTGGGAGCCCCTGTGCCGAGTTTGGGTGCAGACAGGCAGAGCCAGATCCTGGCCACCCTGCTGATGGGTGGGGGCACGCATGGCCCCTCCAAAACAACCAGTGCCGGGGTCAGGGGTGCTCCGGGTGCCCCGGCTCCAGGGCTGTGCGGGTGTGTGGGGTGGCAGGGCCAGATGGGCACAGGGGCTCGGTGCCAGCACGGGGCCGGTGGGTGCTGGGGGACCCTAGATCACCCACAGAGGTGGCGCTGGGAGAGCTGGTCCCGGGTCCGTGGTGCAGGGACACGTGCCAGAGCAGGTGCCCCAGGGCCCCGGGCAGCGGGAGCCGCAGGCCACGTGCCCGGTTCTCGGTAGAGGGGCAGGGCCCCAGGGCTGCTCC